TTGTATATCTATAGACATTGATTCTCCTATTTTGCAGATATACTAATTATATAGCTTCGATTAGGGTGGCCAATACTGCTTAACATGACTACTAAATTGAGTATGAAATATGTTTAGGGGAAAATAGGGATTATAATTAGACAATTAGATTTTATTTCGATAAGTTCTAAAGTCAAAAATTACTGAGATGAATTTTGTAGCCTCTTTCATTTTTATTTGCAGCATACTACAGCATACTACTAAATTATTAAATCGTAAATATTAAGATCAAGATGATTTGATATTCTGTTTGGTCGCAGTTTCCTATTAATCTATATCTCTTTATTCGGTCAATTTATTTAATTTCTTATTGTCTCTCCACATACCTGCACTTAAATATACAAAAATTCAAGCTCCGCTTGTCCTCGATTGCCTCGGCCAACACCCTGCTTTCGGAGTCTGAGTCTCAGCTTGAAGAGCCTGGACAAAAACTGGCGGCCTGTCGCAATCGAGCAGATGACTGCGAGCGCCGTGTTGGACTGCTTTCAGCTGAAATACATATGCTTCGTTCTCAATTGGCTGAAAAGCGTCAAGCTTATGCCTTGATTCGCCCAGGGAAGCGATCAGTGGTTGCTAATAATTCTTCAATTTCCTCTATGATCCCGAACCAACCAGCTCAGACCACACAGGCTTTCGATAATGGTTCCTTAGGTGTTGATAAAGCTGAGTAAGCTGGCTACTCGTCTTTACTTTACCTGAACTATTGCTATACAGCGATATCTAGATCTTTGGAATAACATAACAGCCAAAGTTTGATACAATTTACTCATTTTGAGGTTTTTAATTGACTTATTAAATTTTTGCTTTTATTATATTTGCAATTGCATTAAACGTAGTCATTGGCTAGATATATAAAATTATAGGGAGCAAATTAAGTGACATGGATAATGCCACTACTCCCTCATTCTTAAGGCTAATTCGAACCTAAAATGTTTATTCTTTGAACTCATAATGTTGACATGTGTGATATTTTTATACGTTCTGTATTGCTAATAGATACTAAGAAAAACTTGGTTTCGATGAATCTCCTGAGAGTACGTTGTTAGGGGGACCTTCATTTCGGATGAAAGTGCATGAAGAAGAGATTCGTTGGTCGATCTTATCAGATGAGGACGGATGAATCTCGTTGTACTGCAGCCGGTTGGATTTTATACGAGATTCATGTTGACGCAGTCTACGAGACTTGCTCCCTCGTTTTGGGTAAAAACGCGCTGAGCTTTCGTCCATCATATGATGTACATCATCAGAGCTGGGTGCCATTCTTGTAAAATTCTCACGTTAACACTAAAGCAAAAACACTATCAGGCTCTATCTTACTTCTTATATAGACTCAATCGAGCCTAAAAATTAAAAACTTAAATTAATATAGCGGTTTGGTTAATTTTTTTCATACTGGTTCTGTTATTTTTGCTCGATTGTATGAGTTTATATTTGGGCGTGCTAGCGTCTATATGCAATACGGTTCCTAAATCAGAGTTGTCAAAGGTTAAATCTCAGGTTCTGATCCTCAT